CTAAGAAAACAAATAAAGTGACTGTAACCATGTAAGCCTTCATATCATGTGCAAAAAAAGGGTTAAAATCACATTTCATTCTAACATTGTAACATTGCAATCTAAAAACAAAAATAAGGCTTTTAAAGCGGAAGTTAAATTCACTAAACTAAAAATGAAAATAAATGCGAACAAAAGCACAGAGTTGTGTTAGGCTATTTTGATTACCCCATTACAGTCACTTTACAGTCAGTGCTATCATAAAAATAGACTTACTTGTAGGTTTAAAATTCTACATGTCACATTAATTGTCCAACTACAAATATTTGAGGGAAATGTATATTTAGTCAGAATTATTGCGCTGATATTTAGTTGAGCTCTGTCTGTTTGGCACGCATGCGCGCGGCGGCGCTCGTTCACTGAAGTTTAGCGGAGAATCCCAAAGCAGAAGGCTCATGCACTTCTGACAGAAAAATGGAAATATTTCCATGGCTCTATAACATTTACAGATGGAGAATATACCTGTGAAATGTAAGTTATACATTCAGGAATACAGCACATCTCAAACACATTAAGCAGCGCGAGTAGCCTAGCATCTCTGTCAGCGGCACACGCAGCCTTTCTGTCAGAGCATATGACGGGCCGAGCCGCTTAAACTAATATGCGAAACAAAACTATAAACTATGTCTTACCAGTTTTTAAAGGCCTTAATATGAAGCTTGTCACATGTTTAGAACAAATTGGATAATTGACTTTCTCCGCAGCAGCTCAGTCTGTGTCCTCCGCTATATTTTCAGATGCGCTCGTATCAAACTATAACGGTATTGCCTCATATCGAATTGCTTATAAAGAAAATATCGATATATCGTACAAACTCGATATACCGCCCAGCCCTATCGCCTTTTAATGGTTATGCTTTATTTATAGTGAGCTACTACCTAATACTACTACCACTACTACTACTAATAAAAATAATACATTTATATAGTGCTTTCAGCCAGTATTGTAAAAATTGTATGTTTAAACAAAACAAGCAAACAAAACCATATGACAAGCACAACATACATATCAACAGCACAGACCAGAGTGAAGGTATAGATCAGGGAAACAAACAGATCCATAACAAAGACAAACACTACAACCGGAACTACAGACTAAAAATATATGAAACCAAAAGGCAAAGATCCATCAGACACCTCCAGTGTGAAGAGGCAGCAGTGAATACAAACATTCAGTCAGGAATTTCAGGCCTCTAGATGTCAATATAGAACCAATGAAGTACAGCCGTGTGTCTGTATCCATCCTGCACCCCTCAAACTGCATGAGGATAGGTACCAAAACCTGGTTTTAAATGGGCCCCAGGGCTAAATTATGAAAGACTGTGGTAGTACCGATAAGCTCGGACGACTTTCGGTACTGAAGAAAATACACAATATTTATTATAGCTACATAAATGTTAAGTTACAAATTGTATTTCACCAACCATTACTATATGCAAAAATATCAGACATTCGTCTAGAATGCAATTTTTAAAATTCATAATCCAGAAGAGAGATCACAAGTTAAAAATTATAAAAAATAAAAAAAAAACCGATAAGAATACTGTTAAAGTACCGGATCAATAAGAGTAGTAATACCATTAAAACATTGTGCACAACAATAAGTGTTTACTTGTACAAGTGTAGGTTTGACTAGTTAGCAAACTACCCTGCTGGCAGATATTGTAACTGCATCGTCATTGCTGGCCAGAGGCCTGTAAACATTATTTTTATTTTTTCCAAGTAAACTATCAGTTACACATTTTTTATCATTATAGATATTTTGCCAATGTCTATATTTGGAGGGCTCTCTACAGTATCAAATTGAAATGGTTTTTGCATTTAACATCGCAGTGATATCTAATGTAATGTATAAGTATAATACCTGGCTTTCTCTTGCTATTATAGACCTCAGTCAATATAGTGATGCCACTGTAATGTCAAACTCTCTTCAACCTTCAGCCTTTGATTAAGATACCGTTTGGCTGAGCCTGTTGAAGTGCTCTGTTCCTGCTGAGATCTGTCTCTAATGTGACTGGGAGTCTACAAGGTTTGTGTGTGGAGTGGCGGCACATTGTATAACGGCACAGTGGACACAGTATCCGTCCTGGATTTAACGCACACTTTCTCTTGTACTCATATGGACACAGACGCACATGCTCAAGGGCGCGATCCCTTTCTCACTGGCCCGCATCCATGAGATAACAGCATGTATGTTAGTAATGGGAGCGCTTTTAATTTAGCTAATTATGTATTCACTTTCTTCGCTTAAACTGAGCCAGACCATCCTCTGTCAACTTGAAAAACAGATTTAAAAATGCAGTGCATAACAATATCGTAAATAGATAGTAACTGAATGAGACTAAGCAAGTGGTTTACTTTTATCCAACATTGAGAAATTAATTTTCTGAACTGTAAATGTGCACTTTAAAAACTGACTGATGCACTATTATGATAATAGGAATATAATGATATAGGCTATGATTGTATTTGCACAGCACTAGTTGGTTTTGCATACAGACATCTTCGAACTTCTCATGTGGACTATCACAATTCTTCCGATTCCTCAAAACTGGTTCAGTCAGAACTAAATTTCTTAAATTAACTGAAGCAGAAAATTGCAGATTAGAATGCAAGACTATAAAAGTTAACGTTTTCTTGATTTACTGGATGTGCGAGTTAAAAAATGTTCCGCTCGAGCTGAGGAAGAGCCCACGTTTCCCGTGTCAGGTCAGATGACAGTTGGGCTGATGATACGCTGCGGAGGAATTGGGTTTTATGAGGTGTCAGAGACAGAGAGTGAGAAGCCGAGCGTGTACTGTACGTGCCGGTCGCTGAGGAAGGTGCTGAGCGCTCACGTGGTGTGCGTGTTTGATGACTGGAGCAGGTGGAGGCACAGGACGCTCCAGCTCCACACACACTGCTGCATTGTCGCCGTTTGAGCACTGAGCACCAAATATATATATATATCAGCACGCAGACAAACACATGCACAAAGCAACAGAAACTAATCGTATTAAAAACAGTTTCACTAATTAAAGAGAAATAAAACTGAAATAAAATGCAATGTATTTTATTAGATAAAAAAAACTAACTCAAAAATTTGAAATGCCTTGGAAACTTAATGAAATATGTATTACAATTATTAAACTGAAATAAAAAATTATAAAAACTAAGTAGAAGTATTTGCAAAATTAAAATGACAAAACCACAACAAAATTACTAAAACTAAAATGAAAATAGAAAAATAAAAACTAATTCAAAATACTAATAAACACTATTATAGTATATTAATGATACTAAAATAACACTGCTTGAAATTTTATCAGACCCCATTAAAACCTGCTTATACAATTATTTAATCTTCAATCTAAAATTGAAAAAAAAATTACACTCCCTAAAAAGACTCAAACTGTAAAGTGCATTAGTGTTCATATTCAAACAGACACCAAAACAAGAATAGGCATTATAGGATAAGTATTCTGGGATTGTTGCACTTTAGATATTGCTAAAATGTTGCTTTGCTAAATGCTAAAAACTGTTCTGATTCAGAGGACAAATGATTTGATAGAAGAGGAGCGCTCTTCTATTACCTTACAAGAGTTTATTTTATGATAATGAAAGCTACTTAAAAAATAAATACATTCAAATGAAAAGTTGAGATTAAATGATGTGAGAAGAAGAGACCATAAAATGATAAGAGACACACAAAACTAGCACTTTTATGTAAGTAATCAGTTGCTATGGCCAGTGGTCAATTATACAGTGTAGCTGTCAGCATGCATGCATGAATTGAGAAGTATTTCAATGTAAAATGTAAGAATCTTTTGCCAGGACTGAGTTGTAATGGCTAGCTTGATGGCTAATTCCTGTTTTTTTTGTTTTTTTATGTCTTCTTGTGTAGCTGCCATACTTGCTCCTGAACTCTCAAGGTCCAGATGCGAAGTCACGCATGTACCCTGTGGTCTATGGAGAGAGCATCGAGGTTAACCCCAAACCAGAAAAAGAGATCAAGTGAGTGTTAAATATTTTTGTGGTTGCAGGGCCATCCAAACTAAAGCTGGATACAAAAGTCTGAGACCAAACCAGTTTCTGTTTTGCACTTTTTCATTACAATTTATACTATTACTTAAGCATTTTGACTGAAAAGTTAAAATAAAACATCAAAAACATTACAATGGCACGATGTCTTGTATTTAGATCTCTTTTGCATTAAAGGGATAGTTCACCCAAAATGAAAAAATGTCATTAATTACTCACCCTCATGTCGTTCCAAACCTGTAAGACCTTTGTTCATTTTGGAACACAAATTAGGATATTGTTGATGAAATCCGAGAGCTTTCTGACTCTGCATAGACAGCAAGGGAACTACCACGTTCAAGGCCCAGAAACGTAGTAAGGACATCGGTAAAAAAGTCCATGTGACATCAGTGGTTCAAACTAAATTTTATGAAGCTACGAGAATAATTTTTTGTGTGCAAAGTAGTGTTAATTTCGTTGACGAATAATTTTCGTCAACGACATTTTTCAGCACTTTGTGAAAATCATGAGAAGTGACAATCCTCTGTGCGTCTGTGTCACTTCTCACAGCTTCACAACACACTTACATCACACTTCACAAAGTGCTCAGAAACCCATGTGTGACAGTTGGCTGAAGCAATGGTTTTAGTTAAAAAGTTTGAAATATTAGTATTTTTATTTTCTTGATTCATCAGCTGGTGTCGTTTGGATTACCGTTGTGTTTGTTTTGCATGGTTTTTGAAGCGTCATCTTTGGAGGTTATTTTTGTATTTTTTTTGTTTGTGTTCATCTGAAGAAAGAAAGTCATATACATATAGGATGGCATAAATGTTGATAAATGATAATAATAATAATAATAATTATTATTATTATTTTTAAATTTTTTTGGGGTGGAGTATCCCTTTAAGATTCCATGCTTTTAACTGGCCCACAAACATTCTGAGCCATGACATTAAAAGACAGCAGAAAGGGGGAAATATCCAAAATGTTCTTTCATCAGAATACACAGCTCCTTCTGAATGGCTGTTAATGGAGAAATATTATGGTGCAGTTACAGTATCTACCAGCAGGGGCAAACTGCTGAACATATAGTGACGTGAAGTGACGTGATGAGAAGTGAAGTGAAGTGAAGTGAAGTGACGTGACGTGGCCAAGTATGGTTACCCATACTAGGAATTAGTGCACTTAGGATTTAACCCATCCTAAGTGCACACACACAGCAGTGAACACACACACACTGTGAACATACACCCGGAGCAGTGGGCAGCCATTTATGCTGAGGCGCCCGGGGAGCAGTTGGGGGTTCGGTGCCTTGCTCAAGGGCACCTCAGTCGTGGTATTGAAGGTGGAAGAGAGCACTGTACATTCACTCCCCCCACCTACAATTCCTGCCGGTACGAGACTCGAACTCGCAACCTTTGGGTTACAAGGCCGACTCTCTAACCATTAGGCCACGACTTCCCCACTTATATTTGTGTATAGAAGTGTATAAACACTCGGCTAGAAGTGTTTATATTTAATTTTAACAAAGGCATGCTGTGTGTCACCGCAGTTAAATCGGTGTCTATCATGATAAAACCTTAATATCAAACCTATATAATGAGTTTGGAAATTTTAGAGAAATGCTTAATAAATGCATTACACTGTAACTAAACCCATTAGATTTTAGCCGACTAAATTTACTGTAGATTTAGTCGACTAAAATCTTATGATATTTAGTCGACTAAAACTAAAAACAATTCAGATGACTAAAATATGACTAAAACTAAATGGCATTTTAGTCAAAAGACTATGACTAAAACTAAATCAAAATTTGCTGTCAAAATTAACACTGGTGCAAAGAAAACAAAAAATACCACTTTATTCAACGATTTCTTCTCTTCCAGATGCATTTTTGAGTGAACTATCCCTTTATCCATGAGTTTGTGTAAATCCTGATGATCATGTTCTCTATCATGATTTGAGAAAGACCAATGAAAGAACATCTGACCATTTGTACAGGGTCATATGTTCAGGGTCATATGTTCAGTGGCACAAATTTACTTATTTGACTTGTGAGCTAGAAATAGTGCAGAATCAGAAACATTTCTTCATTATTTTGTATCATAACATTTCTTTAAACTTTTACAAAACCTGATTTCCAAGTTGGTCTCAGACTTTGAGCGAACATTCCCATATTTTCCTGAATCTTAGTTGAGTAATGTTTGACTGATGAATTCTTGTCTTTTGACCGCCGTCAGGTTCAACTCTGTGGTGAAGTACGCTTCAGACAGACACTTCCGTGACCAGGTGTTCTGCGCCCAGGTCCCCACCGCCACATCCTTCAGCGAGACGGTGGTGGCCGTTCAGAACTGCACGTGGCGCAGCTACAAGTCAGAGGTTCACTTCGAGCCACGGCACAGGCCGCTACACTTCCAAAGCACGACCATCGTGTTCCCCAAGCACACCCGGAATACATACCGCACCACGCTGAACTACAATGGCAACAGAAACGCAGCCGGCCGCCGGCGGTTTGTGTCCACAGTCAGGCTGGAGTCCACCGAGGACGCCAGTCCATGCATCATTTACACAGAAGACCTCTGAGAGACACATATCAGAGATGTGTTATCCTTCCCAGAATTCAAAAACTCCCTTTGGTTAGAGAGCTACAGTGAGAGTACATGGACTAAAACCCCAATTCAACGACGGATGCTCAGTGAGGGTCATTTTGTTCTTTTGCTTTCAGTGACATTGGTACTTGATGTTGGAGATGAGCTGGAGTTGAGTGTGTATTTGCGGTCTTTACATATGTTTTACGTGTCAGTGATGTATTTATGTACATCTGGAGATTTTTTCTTTGAATTTTAATATCCAGTCGTACCAGTCAGGTGGAGGGAAAAGCATTTGGGGCAAAACAGTTTCTGCTGTTTGCTGATTCACAGGCCCGCGAGGAATCTAAGCCCTCAGAATTCCACCGAAAAAAACGTAGGACTTTTATGCAATTTTCCATTTTAATTATACCATAAAATTCTGCCAATATTCCCCCCAAAAATGTAAAAACAGGCAGAGTCCATGGGGGCCTACTTTATTGTCTTAGTATTGCGGATTCTTACAAATGCTCACACAGGAAAGAGTTCATAATTAAAACGAAATGCATAAGCACATTATATGTGGACGAGAGCACAAAGTCATTAGACCTCAGTCAGGTTAGATGCTGCATTGAATTTAACACCGATGTCAAAAATTAAACATGCTAACCATGACTAAGGTCTACTGACATTAATCTGTAGACTATCAGAACTGGCTGAGGAAATATAAACTGTATTTAAGTTGCACTTATGGAAAGTTGTTTTTTTTGTTTTGGCTGTAAATGTGTTGGTATGACTAAGGGCAAATCAACGTGTAGGAGCACTTGAAAGGTTGGACCAAAGATTCTGTAAAATTCAGAGAAAGGGAAATACAACCTTAAATATTTCCTCCCTTTCTGTTTGTACCTCAGAATAATGTCTTGCACAAGAGTTTCAGAAGCTGCCTGACGTGCTAATAATTCAGTGGCCAAAATAAGAGCTGCACTCACAGAATGACAGGAAACAGAAGGTTGTATTTGAAATAAGTGGACTGAGCATGTGTTAGATGAGACAATTCGGCATATTCGGTTCTCAAATGCTGGATTTGTGAGACGGGTTTAATCTCTGAACAGAGACGAGGTTCTTTGACCTCCTGAAGCCTGTACGGTTATACTTTGCGATTGCACGGTTAGATAATGTCAAAGGTAATTAGTAATTTCGGACTTTTTTCGGAGCCAGTTTGTCTCAGCCAAAATCTAGATTCCCAAACTGAGCTCCTGTCTCCTCCAGCGAGTGCATTTCCTCTTTCATGTATAACACACTCTTTTGTGGAGCAGAGCTGTTGTTGTTTAGGGAGGCGATGAGATGTAACGGAGCAGTGCGCGGAGAGAGAGATTTGGACTGAGCAGTAAAGCATTATGGAGGTGTAAGTACGTCATGTCTGTCTTATGTCTGGACTATACGCTTTCAATTCTGTAAAAGCTGAAGTGGGTTTTGTAAATTTAGATCTCTTACCTCATTCATTTTCTTTTTTTTAAATTTCTGATTTTATATAATAGAGATCTTCTGGTGCCTGAAAATAGAAAAACAGTGACAGAGTATGTTTCCGTCTGGTATGTGGATGTGTTTGAGTTTTGAGAGGAAAAGCTTGGCAGTACAAATCAAAAGAGCCAAGTCTAACTAGTGTAAGACAGGAAACTAGTGCATGTATATTCCATGACACGATGAAAAAATCATCAGGGGTTCATCAGAAGCCATGACCGATAAATAACTTCCTGTTCACTCAAGATGGACATTTGATAAGTTGTTAGAGGAATTTTAGCAATGTGTTGAAAGCAGATCCGAGGGGAGATGTATGAAATTTTATGATTACATTTGTTTGGTGTACAAATGCTTTCCGCTAACAGATGGATTTTGTTTGATTTCCTAACACGGTGATGTGTGTTTCTGTAAAATACTTTCCTGTTGTATATGTGGCATACAGCACTCGTAATTCTCTTTATATTTTTGTATAATTCCCAACTTAATGGTCTTCTTTTGGACAACAGATGAGAAAATAATTTAAGAAAAAAAACATGTATATCCAAACCGATTAAATAAAAGCCCCAAACCCTACAACGGCTGTATGTTTGCCTTCTTTTGATAAATTCTGGATGTTTAATGATCTGTGAGGTAAGAATGAGTCTGTTTTCCATGTACATTATCACTTACACAGCACTTTCCAGCTTAAGATGAAAAACCCTTCCACCATTCTCCTATAAAACTGCCAGCCGTGAGAGAGGCATTGAGTCTTTTTGGAGCGTATATCATCTTAATCCATGCATTCAAGCTTGCTTTAGGCTAGATCTCATTTACAGGAGTAAAGGATTACATAAAAGAAGTCATAAAGTACATTATCATAAGGTAAGTGAATGTTCCAGCTACATATATTGCGCAAGTTTAATACAGTAAATGCAACGTTTATTTGACATATTCAAAAAAAGCCATGTATATTAGTCGTATTTGAAATCAATTTCTGCTCATGTATGTTTTTCTCCTGCTTTAACAAAAGATTATATCTACCTACTCTTTCCCAACGCCTGACCGTTTTACTTTCAAAACAAAGTTCTCCAGTCTAATGATTTACAAACATTTGGCGAATCGTCTTGACTGAGTCATGCTAAAGGAACTGCTACTGAAGAAATTGGATAGCAGTTCTTTGAATTTGCTTTACAGGACGGAGAGTGTGCTTAAATTAAGTGTCTCCACTTAAATTGTTTGCCCACTTTATTGCTATTAAACATCAAATTTTGAATGGTTTCGCTCTTCTGTGAACGGTAAGCCACATAAACATAAAACATATCTAGTAGGCTTCTAAAACAAGACATTTCCCAATAACACCTAGAAGAACAGTCAGCCAATAAAAATGTGATACAAGGCCTAATGCTAATATCGTCATCTCAGTGGCAAAATGTTTCCCAATTTACATGAATACCACAAATATTGTAATTTCACATACTAAATGTTAAATAACATTTAATATAAACACTAAATATTGTAATATTATCATTTTAATGCAAATGTGTTACATGTTTACATGTTATAGACAACGAAGATGTTTAACTTTTGTGACATGTGAATGTATTTTCTTGGACTGAAATACTGAGAGCAAAATATAAACATATTTTAAATATATTTCCAAAAATATGCAAAAAAAGATATAAAAAAGCTATCATTTTAAATATATTTACATAAATATATCAATAGTTTTGGCTTTTTTATTTATTTATTTATTTGTATATTGTGAAATATATTTAATAATATGCTTTTGTGCCCTATAGTCTCTCTGTGTGGTTTAATGGGGGATTTTTCTGCCCCAAACAGAAGAATGTTCAAAATAGATCCTCCTTAGCTGCTTTTCATGCTTTCAACGGCATGAAAACAAGTTGTCTGTTAAATGTCTTTTGTCATAAATTAAGAGCTGCAGCAAACAAAGAACTTCAGCCTGACTGTAGCCTGAGATCGTGTGAAGGTCAGCAGCGCCCTCTAGTGCTCAACATGTCTCAACATGTCCTGATGCCAACAAATATAATGCAGTGAAGAGACGCGTCAACTGCCTGAGGCTGCATAGCAAACATATTTGTATTGCTGCTGCGAATAATCCACCGATTGTAGGTTAAACGTGGACACAATTCCTACACCTTTTGACAAATGAATTTCCATAATATTTCACTTAATACATGACTGGATTAGTTGTTAAATCATTTGATAAAAATTACTGAATCAGACTCGAATTATGCCAAGTACACATTCTTTGAATTAATTGCATTTTGATAACTGCTATGGTAATCAGTGCACAAACTGATATTCAGTTATTCAGTTTCAGTCTGATTTGTGGTCAAGTTTTTAATGTATCCACCTTATTTATTTATTTACCGATAATCTTGTACCATGATGTACAATTACAAAGAAAATATATTCCATTCATTGTAATTAACAACATGGAGTGTATTAAACATTATATTACATCAAGGTTTCCCAAACTGGGGGATTTAAAGGAACTGCAGGGGATTTATGAGTTTAATGAAAAGCTAACAATTAATTAAATCAAAAAGCATGTAAAATTACAATAATTCTAAAATAATCTAATTAAAACGCTTACTAAAAAATGAAATATTTTATGTTTACCTGCATGCCATATGAACATTAACCAATGTCAGAGAACTCTGAACACGCAAATGTGATCATTATTAAAATATTTATTTTAAAAACTCAGGGAAGGGGTCCTTGATTATGATTTCACTTTTTTTTACTTTAGTTAATGAGTAATGTTCCTGTTTGAGCATAAACAACATCTGAAGAGTTCAATGCAAAGGGAGATGTTTTCTTTTACAGAATTTGCTTTTTAAGGCCTACAGCAAACGGCTGGTAGGGACTACTTGTCAAGCTTCTTCCTTGGTTTGTGATATGACAAACCCTAAAATTCAAATAAACCCTGCCCCCGGGAACACACAATCACAACACAAGGGGCCAGCTAACCAATCTGAGTCCATTGCGTATTTGTGAGGAAGGGAAGGGGCTTCATAGAATCAGGAAGTCAACAGACTGTCTTTAGGAGAATGGAATCAGCGGTCAAATATATGAAAAATAATGCAATTTTTTTTTTTTTTAACGAAGCATTAACATGTGTTAAAGTGCCCCCATAAACACAATCAATCCCTAACATTAGTTTTTGGTTCCCGTTTGGTTATTTATGTGGGAACCAAATACTAACGTTAGGGGAACGTTAGAATAATGTTATGGGAACGTTCTTCAAACAAAAAAAAACAACAACTAACGTTCTGGAAACGTTAAGAAAAATTTCCTGGCTAACCAAAACAAACCATAAGAAATAACGTTCTGGGAACCAAAAACTGTTAGCTGGGTTGCTCCGCCCCTAAACACACGAACACGCTATGCAACACATTCAACAACAAGGACAAGCATAGGCTTATCAGACAGGTATACAACATGAATCAGTCCTGTTAATACTATAGCTCAGGGATCCTCAAATCTGGCCCACGGGATCCACTTTCCTGCAGAGTTTAGCTCTAACCCTAATCAAACACACCTGAGCATGCTAATCAATGTCTTCAGGATCATTAGAAAATCACAGGTAGGGGAGTTTGAGTAGGGTTGGAGCTAAACTCTGTAGCGCATTGGCCCTCCAGGGCAAGATTTGAGGAACCCTGCTATAGCTAATATTACAACAACAGTACTGTTTCTGTGAAACATGGCAAATCCAATGTTACTCACGTGTGGAACAGAATCAAAATCTCGATGTGCGTTTTCAGGCCTTCCCTGCTCTCTAACATCTCTCCAGCACTAAGCTTTTCCAGCATTAACGCGGGTCGTAGCTCGTGCCTGATCATAACCCTTCTTATTCCAGTTATAGTTTTCTGATCTTTTCCTTTTTGGTAACATTTCAGTCATCTCTCTAGAAACCTCCCACCGCTTGTTTACTTTCTCTTCTCCCAATCACAGTATACATATACACGCACTCTATTGCTGATTGGCTACAAGACTGCTGTGGTGCTCAGCCTTATCGGTCCGATCCCCATTGTTTTTCACGATTTACACAGCTTACAAAGTACACAACTGCATTACTTGAGTTAAAGTACAGATACTGCATCTCAAATATTACTCCATTACAAGTGAAAGTTGTGAAGACTCATTTTTACTCAAGTTCAAGTAAAAGTACAGAAGTACTTCATTTTAAAAGTACTTAAGTACCAAAAGTGTTATTATTGTTGTATGTAATACTTGCAATACCCTCTGAAGCAACAAAATGTAGTGGGGTGAAAAGTATATGTCTTTCAAATGTAGTGAAAAAGACATAAGATTCCAGAAAAAATAATACTCACGTGAAGTAGGCTACAGATACTCAAAAAGCACATCTTAGTACAATACTTTAGTAAATGTACTTTGTTACTGTCCACCTCTGGCTTGGGCCATGTACAATTTTTTTTTAGCACACAAACCGAACAAAATGCAAGCTCCAGCCAAGGAAATTCTGAAATGTATGTATTCATCATAATCATTTACATGACTTTAAAGGGTTAGTTCACCCAAAAATGAAAATTCTGTCATTAATTACTCACCCTCATGTCGTTCCAAAACGTTCATTTTCGGAACACAAATTAAGATATTTTTTATGAAATCCAAGAGCGTTCTGACATCTGCTCAGTTAATATATATATATATATATATATATAAAACCTAAAAAGTGATTCATCCTACAAGTAGTCCTGGAGTGACGGACACATTCACAAACACACTGACACATCAACACACGTCTGCAGCCATGTAATGTACTTCCACTGATGGCGCGAGTGTGTGCGCTTGGGTGGGTTATGGGATGTATGTCTATGTATGAATATGTGTGTAGAGGTATCAGAGGGCATGAGCGCAGATGGACGTGTGTGTTCCCGTATGTCAGTATGGACATGAGTACGTGTGCGTTCACGAACATCCCTGTTTACAGTAACAAATTTCTGTTCATAAGCAGCAAACGTTCACTTTAAAGGGTTAGTTCACCCAAAAATGAAAATTCTGTCATTAATTACTCACCCTCATGTCGTTCCAAAACGTTCATTTTCGGAACACAAATTAAGATATTTTTTATGAAATCCAAGAGCGTTCTGACATCTGCTCAGTTAATAGCTTTAAGGCTGTGTCCAAAATCTTCACTTTACCTGATATAGTGCACTATTTGAGCCATTAGTTGTGGTGTCTGAAACTATGGATATTGAGTAGTGCCATAGTGCACCTCAATAACGAGTATACAGTACAACCAGTGCACACTCACTAGCCGCTAGGCTAGAATATGCATTCACATTATAATAAAAGTGTTTTTACAATATTAATATTTATTTTTTTATTTTATAATGACATGTTATCATAGCATAGTTCTTGTATCATTTTTTAGTAATAACTAATTGTAATAATTATTGTTAGTCCTCCTAGTCCAAATTGTGCAGCTCTACAAACAAGCCTGGTGCTCTTTTACAACCAGAAAAATAGCAGCTGGATTTATGCAACCCTAGAACTGGAGGCATATGGAGGTGATTTTGGATACACAGCATAAATCTCACCCCTGAATTTCTAATTACAGACATCGTCATACACCTGATTCGGTTAATCAGCTCATTAGTACAGGCCTTATGAGCCGTACCACCACTCTGCTGAGGTCTCCAAGAACCAGGATTAAAAAAACATTATAAATTGACAAATAAATGAATAAATACTACCAACAACATAACAAACGAGAGCACAGCAGAGGTTTGGGTTCTTCCTCCCAGGTGCGGGGTTGGGCCTGGCCCTGTGGAGGCGCCGATGTGCCCTGCTGCATTGGGGAAGGTGAGGGTCCTGACATCATCCCACTGGGGAGACGCATCTGCATGGTCAGGGGGTTACAGGGGAATGGAGTGGGGCCTAAGAGGAGGAACCAGAAAAAAATGTCATATATAAATACATAAAATGTGCAGTACCATTCGGTAGGACTTTGTAACATTTCTAAAAGAAGTCTCTTATGCTCACCAAGGCTGCATTTATTTGATC